CTACTGTCAGGGTCCCCCAGGGTTCTGTCCCTGGACCTCTCCTATTCTCCATCCTACAATTCTTCCTTGGTCAGCTGATAGCTTCTCATGGCTTCTAATACCATCTCTATGCTGATGACACACAAATCTATCTCTCTACTCCTCACCCCTTCAGTTTCCTCACATATCACCGATTTACTAACAGACATATCAGACTGGAGGTCACACCACTTCCTACAACTGAAATCTATCCAAAACTGAGCTCATAATATTACCTCCCCCACGTGCCTCTTCCCCTGATTTCTCGGTCAGGATCAACAGCACCACCATCAACCCATCCCTGCTGGGGGGAACCCTGGATTCTGAACTATCCTTTCATGCCCACATCCAATCCCTGTCCAATCATACCGCCTCAACCCCCTGAAACATCTCCAGAATATGCCCCTTCCTGACCAATGACACCACAAAGCTCCTTATTCACTCTCAGGTCATCTATCCTCTCGACTACTGCAACTCCCTCCTCATTGGATGACCTTTACATAGGCCACTCCCCCCTCCAGTCCCATCATGATACTGCTATGCCAGACTCTTCCACCTTACTAACAATCCCTCCACCACTGCCCTCCACTCAGTGTCCTCCACCCCTCTCTGCCAATCCCCTCCACCCCTGCCACCTCCATTCAGTGTCCTCCACACCCCTCTCTGCCCCAATCCCTCCACTGACCTCCACTCATTGTCCTCCTGCCACCCCTGAACCTCTCAGTGCCAACCCCTCTCATCTGCCCTGACCTCCACTCAGTGTCCTCCACCCCTCTCTGCCAATCCCCTCACTGACCTCACTCAGTGTCCTCCACCCCTCTCTGCCAATCCCTCCACTGACCTCCACTCAGTGTCCTCCACCCCTCTCTGCCAATCCCTCCACTGGCCTCCACTCAGTGTCCTCCACCCTCCACCCTCCTGTGCCAATCCCTCCACTGGCTTCCTCTCACCCAATGAATAAAATACAAATACTAACCACAACTTACAAAACCATCCACAACTGTGCCTCCAGCTACATCACCAACCTGGTCTCAAAATGTCAACCAAACCGTTCTCTTCGATCCTCTCAAGACATTCTGTTCTCTAGTGCCCGTGTCACCTCCTCCCATGCTCGCCTCCAGGACTTCTCCCGAGCTTCTCCCATCCTATGGAACTCCCTACCCCAATCTGTCCGGCTGTCTCCTAATCTTATCCACCTTTAGACAATCCCTGAAATCCTTTCTCTTTAAAGAAACCTATCCTGCTTCTACCTAGAAAACTGCCATTTATTTCCTCCATCAGCTCCTCCCCCCACAGCTATTACCTTTTGTATCACTCAACCCTTCCTCCTGGATTGTAAGATCCCAGGATCAGGGCCCTCTGTTTCCTCTTGTACCAAATTGTATTGTAAGTTTAATGTCTGCCTTTATTATGTACAGAGCTGCGCAAACTGTTGGCGCCATATCAATCCTGTATAATAATAATGATGTCAATTGTCTCTGACCATCTCTTGTATTATGTCTCCAGTCTCTGACCATCTCTTGTATCATGTCTGCAGTCTCTGACCATCTCTTGTATCATGTCTGCAGTCTCTGACCATCACTAGTATCATGTCTCCAGTCTCTGAACATCTCTTGTATCATGTCTGTCCCTGGCCGTCTCTTGTATCATGTCTGTGGTCTCTGACAATCTCTTGTATCATGTCCGCAGTCTCTGATCATCTCTTGAATCATGTTCTCAGTCTCTGACCATCACTAGTATCATGTCCACAGTCTCTGGCCATCTCTTGTTTCATGTCTGCAGTCTCTGATCATCTCTTCTATTATGTCCTCAGTCTCTGACCATCTCTTGTTTCATGTTCTCAGTCTCTGATTATCTCTTGTATCATGTCCTCAGTCTCTGACCATCTTGTATCATGCCTGCAGTCTCTGACCATCTCTTGTATCATGTCCACGGTCTCTGACCATCTATTGTATCATGTCCATGGTCTCTGACCATCTCCTGTATCATGTCCTCAGTCTCTGACCATCTCTTTTATCATATATGTGAAAAGGGAGGGAGGTGCAGCGCTATATAACTAGACAAAATGGTAATGAATAAAACACCGATAATACACAATAATGATAAACGGTGACTGTAAGTTAGTGACGCCACTGAATGGTGGCTATGAGGTGAGGAAAGTGAAACAGTCCAATGAAGGAGTGCTCTTAAGATCCAGGATGATCTTCAGACGTCCAATGTAAAGGACCGTCAGGTGATAAAATATAAAGACTGCGCACTCACCAGATACGCAATCTTTATGTGCATTTGTGTGAAATATCACCGGACCTCCTGTGTCATCATCCTGGTCTGGTCAGATCTGGTCAGCATATCGGTACCCGGATAGATGCAGCTTTTCTGTGGATTTGGCCGGTTCCCACCAGAACTCAAATAAATAGAAAGGGCCACATAGTGTAATATCCTTAGGTATCTTTATTAGAGGCACAGGATAGCAGGAAATCCAACATACAAAAATTGTACTGACCCAGATGCAAATCAAAGATGGCCGCCGGGGCCCCTCGTGGCGCCGGCGGTGAGGCGTCCAACCTGCTGTAGCTTTATCTGACGCGTTTCGAGCGAAGGCTCGTACTCATAGGGGTGCAGCTTACCTCTTACCTCTTATCTCTTGTATCATGTCCTCAGTCTCTGACCATCTCTTGTATCATGTCCTCAGTCTCTGACCATCTCTTGTATCATGTCCTCAGTTTCTGACCATCTCTTGTATCATGTCCATAGTCTCTGACCATGGCTTGTATCATGTCCTCAGTTTCTGACCATCTCTTGTATCATGTCCATGGTCTCTGACCATCTCTTGTATCATGTCCATAGTCTCTGACCATGGCTTGTATCATGTCCTCAGTTTCTGACCATCTCTTGTATCATGTCCATGGTCTCTGACCATGGCTTGTATCATGTCCTCAGTCTCTGACCATCTCTTGTATCATGTCCATGGTCTCTGACCATCTCTTGTATCATGTCCATGATCTCTGACCATCTCTTGTATCATGTCCATGGTCTCTGACCATCTCTTGTATCATGTCCATAGTCTCTGACCATGGCTTGTATCATGTCCTCAGTTTCTGACCATCTCTTGCATCATGTCCATGGTCTCTGACCATCTCTTGTATCATGTCCATAGTCTCTGACCATGGCTTGTATCATGTCCTCAGTCTCTGACCATCTCTTGTATCATGTCCATAGTCTCTGACCATGGCTTGTATCATGTCCTCAGTCTCTGACCATCTCTTGTATCATGTCCATGGTCTCTGACCATCTCTTGTATCATGTCCATGATCTCTGACCATCTCTTGTATCATGTCCATGGTCTCTGACCATCTCTTGTATCATGCCCATAGTCCTTGACTATATTCTGTTCTATGTCTGCAGTCTCTGACAGTGAATAATCACTGAATTTTCTGCGCAGCCCTTTGGTGATATTGCGGGCCTCCACATCAGGAAAGTTGACCACCACCGGCCTAAGTGCTGATTGCGGAGGGCCAGCACAGCCGAGCATTATCCTACAATGGAAGTCAATGGAACAGACTCTCCTTCTTGTTAATGCACGAAGTGGGCGCCCTGCCAGCTCCCTCCTCGGGGTGATATGAGGTTGCTCAGACTTTAAATCCTGACAGACTACCTCGGCACTCAACAGTTTTAATAGCTTGTTACACAAAAGCTTCAACCTCTCCGCTCAGCTGCCAAGTCCTCCACTACACAGACTAACCAGAAAATAAAATACAAGTTAAAAGCGTATGACAACGGTGTTAGTTAATGGGCTCCATTCTGCGGTGCCGGGGTTGTCTGAGCGTCTTTTCTGTTTTGTAATTCCCGAGTTAAGCTCATCCCCCGCACTCGCTCATTCTGCCTTGTAAACCTCACAGCTCCGCTTCATAGGGAAGCAGATTACAAGGCGACGACGGATGAATTGCAATCTTGGAGATTACACGCCGGCTCGGTGTCAAGCACCTATGTGCCTGTGATTGACTCCATGGAAAAGGTTGCCAATGGAGGAATGTGCCCATAGGTGGAGATTTCCTTCTACGAAAATTTTAAGCCCATCAAATACCTGAATATCGGTTTTGGGTTGACGCTGGTGGGCGTAATTATTCATCGGCGTCGTATATTTCTCACGTTTAATCTCAGATTTCTTTTGTCGCTCCGGTTACTTTCCATAGTTATTATAAATTGGAGTCTCTTCCGTACTGCTGAATTGTTACATAGTATGTAGCGCTACCCCCATAGGGGCTGCCAGTACAGAGGTCGCCCAGCACCACTAGCACCCACCCACGCACGCCGGCTCCAATAATGTCGTCTTTTTTGATCATTTATTTTTTGGTAGAACTTTAACCACTTCCCGCCCCTTTTGGGTCATTTTATTATACAGGATTTACAATATTTATTATTATACAGGATTTATATTTATTATTATTATTATACAGGATTTATATTATTATTATTATTATTATTATTATTATTATACAGGATTTAAATTATTATTATTATTATTATATTAGGATTTATACAGGATTTATTATTATTATTTTTACAGGATTTATTTATTATTATTATATTATTATTATTATTTATTATTATTATACAGGATTTATATTATTATTTATTATTATTATTATACAGGATTTATTATTATTATTTATTTATTATTATTATACAGGATTTATGATGCCAACAGTTTGCTCAGCGCTTTACAATATAACGGGAGACAATACAGCAACAATACAGTCAATACAAGAGGGATAGGAGGGCCCTGATCCTGGGAGCTTACAATCTAGGAGGGAGGGGCTGATCCTGGGAGCTTACAATCTAAGAGGGAGGAGCTGATCCTGGGAGCTTACAATCTAGGAGGGAGGGGCTAGTGGTACAAAAGGTAGTAACGGTGGGGGGTGGACTGGTAGGAGGAGTAGAAGATTCCATTATTAGCTGAGGGCGGATAGGCTTCCCTGAAGAGAGAGGTTTTTAGAGATCGCCTAAAAGTGAGCAGAGTAGGCGATAGTCTGATAAATTGGGGTAGAGAATTCCAGAGGATGGGGGAAGCTCTGGAGAAGTCTTGGAGACGAGCATGGGAGGAGGAGACAAGGGAGCTATAGGCCCTGTAATCATGGGAGGACAATTACCTGTGAATGATCTGCCCTGGGTGCAGACAGTCTGTGTCCAGGGCAAATCACTCACATGTAATCACACCATGAGGGATTACATGCGAGTGGGCGCAATTAGCTGCAGGAGCCATCATTCTCCCATTGCCTCCTGCAGCAAATGGCAGGGACCTCCCCCTGCTTTTTTTCTCATCTGTCCGTCAGAAGCGCAGGTGTGCACAAGGCCTCAGTGTGTTTAAACAAAGAGGAGCCAATCTTTTCTCCCATCCTATGGAACTCCCTACCCCAATCTGTCCGGCTGTCTCCTAATCTATCCACCTTTAGATGGTCCTTGAAAACCTTTCTCTTTAAAGAAGTCTATCCTGCTTCTACCTAGTAAACCGCCATTTATTTCTTTCATCAGCTCCTCCCCCCACAGCTATTACCTTTTGTATCACTCAACCCTTCCTCCTAGATTGTAAGCTCCCAGGATCAGGGCCCTCTGTGTCCTCTTGTACCAAATTGTATTGTAACTGTATGTAATGTCTAAATTTATATTGTACAGCGCTGCGCACACTGTTGGCGCCATATAAATCCTGTATAATAATATTAATAATCTGGCCCTACCAGGCTGTACAGGGATTGGTCGCTGACATTATCGAGTTGAGTGGGAAACAGGTGGAAAGACTGACAAAAGATCCTAAAGATATCAAATTGAATAACAAATATGCAGATCGGCGTCATTCACTCGATTCGCAGTTGTCAGTTTAAAGTTGAATTCCTGATTCTGTTGGTTTCTTCGCAGCCAGTTTTTACCACAGAATTCCTCGATGTTTTACTCAAAGGTTCAAGCCAACAATAAATTGTTGCGGTTGGATGCCGTATACTTGGAAATCCTACCAACATCCCGTATCTTGAGATGTATTTGATAGACTATATGATCCCTTCTCCAAAGTGAGTACTTATACACAGATTGATGTTTATAATAATAATATTCATAGTGGCTTGAGCCGACTCATGTGGGCTTGTTGTGCCCATGATGGGATCTTTATTGGAGGAGCCAGGTGAAGGAGGGGTCATCTGGTTCTTAACTACGACTGATGAATCTGTAAGTGCACAGCTAGTATGTAAGTGGCAGAGACATCCAACATACACTCACCGGCCACTTTATTAGGTCCACCTTGCTAGTGCCAAGAAAATCTCCCCCACACCATTACCCCACCACCACCAGCCTGAACTATTGATACAAGGCATGATGGATCCACACACACACCATGACACCACCTGAACCATTGACACAAGGCAGGATGGATCCACCACCCTGACAGCACTACCACCAGCCTGACATGGATACAAGGCAGGATGGATCCACCACACCATGACACCACAGCCTGAACTGTATACAAGGCAGGATGGATCCACCACACCCTGACACCATGAACCATGTATACAAGGCAGGATGGATCCACCACACCATGACACCACCACCAGCAGCCTGAACCGTTGATACAAGGCAGATGGATCCACCACACCATGACCACCACCACCACCTGAACGGTTGATACAAGGCAGGATGGATCCACCACACCATGACACCACCACCACCAGCCTGAACTGCTGATACAAGGAAGATGAATCCACCACACCATGACACACCACCACCAGCCTGAACCGCTGAACCACCACACCATGACATCACCAACCAGCCTGAACTGTTGATACAAGGAAAGATGGATCCACCACACCATGACACCACCTGAACCACCACAAGGCAGCCTGAACCACCAGCCTTGACACAAGGCAGGATGGATCCACCATACCATGACACCACCACCACCAGCCTGAACCATTGATACAAGGCAGGATGGATCCATGCTTTCATGTTGTTTACGCCAAATTCTGACCCTACCATCTGAATGCTGCAGATGAAATCCAGACTCATCAGACCAGGAAACATTTTTCCAGTCTTTTATTGTCCAATTTTGGTGAGTCTGTGCAAATTGTAGCCCAACTGCTTCAAGGTTGGACGTGTTTGTGCATTCAGAGATGGTATTCTGCATACCTTGGGTGTGAACGCTTGAAGCGTTACTGTTGCCTTTCTATCATCTGGTCAGTCTACCCATTGTCCTTGACCTCTGACACAAACAAGCCATTTTCCTCCACACAACTGCCACTCACTGGAGATTTTCTCTTTTTCGGACCATTTTTTGTAAACCCTAGAGATGGTTTTGGCCCAGTAGGTCAGCAGTTTTTTAAATACTCAACCAGCCCGTGGCACCAACAACCATGCCACGTTCAAAGTCACTTAAATTGCTTTTTTTAAATGACAGCAAGTCATCTTCACCACATCTAGATGCCTAAATGCACTGAGTTGCTGCCATGTGATTGGTTGATTTGCAATTCGTGTTATCAAACAACAGGTGGAGTTAATAAAGTGGCCGGTGAGTGTATATGATCTATGGGATTTGACTATATGAGAAACCATGTCTGGACCAGCGATGTACCTGGTACATAGCTGGACTTTCGATGGTTATAAAAGAGTGATGCCTGCAGCTGCAGGCACTACCCCGGGACCGTTTTTTTTTAGAGTTGGTAGTCATCTGTCTTGTCTAACTAACCGCTCGATTGCTTGTACAAGCAGTGGGAAGGAATGCCCCCCATCCTGCCTCCTTCCCATAGTGAGACATGAGCGATCAGCAGGCACGTCCACCAATTGGCCGGGCAGCTGACCAAAGCCAGGATCTAGTGTGATGGACTACCTTGCACGCTGCCTGGGTGCTTCCGTCAGAGAACTGCTTCCACACCACTAGGGCACAAGACCAAGGTATTATAGCTGAGCATCGCACCCAAAGACTAAACAACATTAGCGTAGGTGCCACTGGAACTGTTTATTGTACAGAAATACAGGTTTTTATACACTTCAGAAATAGGGGCAGTCCCCCACATGAACAATAAAGCAAACATTACACACTGGGATAAGCATCCCGTCATATAGGAACCTCCAGGTGAACTAGCCAACAGACAGAAACATTAGGCGACTCAATTAACTCAGTGAACAACAGATTACAGCAAGGGTCCTCAGCATCCGGTGGCTTTAAGCCAGGGGCGGACTGACCATTTGGAAACTCGGGCACTGCCCGAGGGCCCGGGGTCAGTAGGGGGCCCCATGAGATGCCCCTGGTACCTTTTTCATAGACTTTTTTGAGTTTGGGCAAGGACACAGGGGCCCCATGATCCCCTATTGCCCAGGGGCCCCATGAGTTGTCAGTCCGCCCCTGCTTTGAGATGATTTGAGCATCACAAACTTGAAATGCAAATATTTGTCCGGTCCATTATTGGGGTTTTGCGTGGAATGTGTCAGATCTGGCTCCACATTTTTTTGTGTCATACCGAAACAAACAAAAGAAATAAAAATGAGAATGCCGAAACGGTTATCATTGCAACTATTTTTTGGGTGAAGTGGGGCGTTATCTTACAGAAATGCCGGGGGGGGGGGGACAAGATTTTTTGGCCATGACTGTATTAATATCTGCTTAGAATCTCTGAGTCTAGAAGGAAGGATCGAAGCAGTCAATGCTGGTTTAGACACAGACGGCCCAGATCTGCCTCCTGGTCCTCCAGTTCTCAGAGTCTGTGTGTTTCGGGGGCACACAGACTTAAATCCTAAGTAAAAGGTGTAACGGAACCGGACCCAGTCTGCACTCGGGTATTTCCGTTAGACTCCCGCTTCCCTGTCCGAACACCGACCACGGACACCACCGCTGATCATACAGGAAATAGACAGCACCAGACTCCTCTTAAGACAGGAAGTGGACTGCTTTATTTTAACACAAACACAAGATATATACACAGGGAGGGGAAATACAACCAGGAACAGGAAATACATCAGCAAGCCATCCCATCAGGGGGAAGGGCTGCCGGAAACACCCCCCACCAAACCAAGACACACAACAGAACAAAGAGATACACCACATGGCAGCAGACAATACAGGGACACATACATTCCATAATAGTTTGCTGGCAAGCAAGACACAATAGAACACTGGGGCAACCACCTGGCAGTGAACAATGGACAACCCCCCCACCCAACCTATAAATGTCTACACAATATCCAGACAGAGCATCCTGCACCCCTAACAGGCACAGGGTGGGGCTACACATAAGAGGAACAACAGGGGTCTCCCCACCCCCAAAAGTCACTCCCATCACAAAAGGTCCCCCCAGGAACACACCTCCCATAAAATAGAGCCCCCACAGATGCCAGGTCCCATGGTCAGTAAGCAAGTGGCTAACCTGCAGTTTCCTCCAACAGCCCCTGTCCCGGTTGGGTTTGTCACATCGGCTTTGATCGGCACTCCCTTACAGGAATCCAGAAGAGGCAATCTGACGTCACTTTCGGTTTACTTCCGGAGCCATTTTTAAAAAGCTGAAAGCATTCAAAAGCAGTCTCGGAGTTTTGAACGCTTTCAAGTGCAGACGAGGGATTTGGGGTCTTATAGACCCCAGATCACTCCATAAAAAATACCCGTCACATGTCTATTGCTGTCACAGGATATGTTTACATTCCTTGTCACAGCAATAAAAGAGATAGAAAAAAAAAATAATTGTTGGTTTTTGCATTATTTTATGTTTTGAGAAAAATACACTTTTTTGAATTTTAGTGCTAAAAACACAATACATAACCCAATTAAAGATGATGTTACGCCAAGTCAATAGATACCAAACATGTCAAGCTTCAAAATGCAACAGCATCAAAAGCAAAAAAATAAATAAAAAAATTAGCAACAGTGTAATAAAAAAAAAAATAATTATAATGTGCCCCCACCCCCCGTGCTCATGCGAAAAGGCAAACACACATGCCAGTCTCACGAACATGCAAACAGCAATCGTCCCACACATGTGAGATCATGGGCAGTAATTCCAGCAGCAGGCCTCATCTGCAAATCTAATGTGGTATTCTGTAAAGGCTTTTAAAGCCAATGGATAGTAAAATGTACGTTGCTTTGCTGCCGTTGCATTTTGAAGCTTGACATGTTTGGTATCTATTGACTCGGCGTAACATCATCTCTAATTGGGTTATGTATTGTGTTTTTCGCACTAAAATTCAAAAAAGTGTATTTTTCCCAAAACATAAAATAATGCAAAAGCCAACAATTATTATTTTCTAGCAAAAAAAGTAAACAAAAAGTGCCAAAAATGGCCTGGAGCTGAAGTGGTTAACTAATATGTATGTTGATACATTTCTAATATGCTTCCTATATGCTTTCAGAGTGTATACCCCCAACCCGAGGAAGAAAAACACAAAGATTTAGAAACGAATTGGCTTACCCAGCAAAAGGGCCAATATGTAGAACTGAGAAAGAATTTATATCTCTAGAGTCCAGTCTGGGCTTTATTGGGAATAACAACTTGTTTTTTTAACGGTTTGTTTGTTTTTGTTTTATTGTTTTTGTTGTTTTTTTTTCCTTTGGATTGGGGTGGCATTTATTATCCCTGTTCACTGGAAGCAGTGGAAAGTCGAAAGTTCTGGAGTCTTTTCTGTGTTGGAAATAAGTTTGTATTGACCTCTGTATCTGCAAGGGCCTGCTGTCCAGTGAGTGGGCACCCAGACCATTGGTGGTGGTTGATGTTCATCCATCAAACACTGAAAGACCTTAATGCATGGATATTCCCATGTCTTGAAAAGCCAAATCCCAATGTCTCAAAGAGCCTGCCCTAATGTCGAGGAGAGGTTTTGTGGCCTTCGGGTCTTTTGCCTCAACCCAACTGGAGTGGTCCTCCCAACCCGAGGAAGAAAAACACAAAGATTTAGAAACGCCATGGCTTACCCAGCAAAAGGGCCAATATGTAGAACTGAGAAAGAATTTATATCTCTAGAGTCCAGTCTGGGCTTTATTGGGAATAACGACTTGTTTTTTACCGGTTTGCTTTTATTGTTTTATTGTTTTTGTTGTTTTTTTTCTGTGGATTGGGGTGGCATTTATCATCCCTGTTCACTGGAAGCAGTGGAAAGTCGAAAGTTCTGGAGTCTTTTCTGTGTTGGAAATAAGTTTGTATTGGCCTCTGTATCTGCAAGGGCCTGCTGTCCAGTGAGTGGGCACCAGACCATTGGTGGTGGTTGATGTTCATCCATCAAACACTGAAAGACCTTTATGCATGGATATTCCCATGTCTTGAAAAGCCGAATCCCAATGTCTCAAAGAGCCTGCCCTAATGTCGAGGAGAGGTTTTGTGGCCTTCGGGTCTTTTGCTTCAACCCAATTGGAGTGGTCTCTCTTCTGGAAAGCCCCTTACCAGGTACTTGGTGGACTGGCTTTGGCTGGTCCCAGTTGGTTTGTTTGTTTTTGTTTTTTTGGTTTTGTTGGGGTTTTTTTCCTGTGGATTGGGGTGGCATTTATCATCCCTGTTCATGTGAAGCAGTGGAAAGTCGAAAGTTCTGGAGTCTTTTCTGTGTTGGAAATAAGTTTGTATTGGCCTCTGTATGTGCAAGGAACTACTGTCCGGTGAGTGGGCACCCAGACCATTGGTGGTGGTTGATGTTCATCCATCAAACACTGAAAGACCTTAATGCATGGATATTCCCATGTCTTGAAAAGCTGAAACCCAATGTCTCGAAGAGCCTGCCCTAATGTCCAGGAGAGGTTCCGTGGCCTTCAGGTCTTTTGCCTCAACCCAACTGGAGTCATCTCTCTTCTGGAAAGCCCCTTACCAGGTACTTGGTGGACTGGCTTCAGCTGGTCCCAGTTGGCTTGTTTGTTTTTGTTTTTTGGTTTTGTTGTTTTTTTTTCCTTTGGATTGGGGTGGCATTTATCATCCCTGTTCACTGGAACAGGGGCGGGCTAACCATTTGGAAGCTTGGGCACTGCCCGAGGGCCCGGGGTCAGTAGGGGGCCCCATAAGATGCTCCTGGTACCTTTTTCATAGGCTTTTTTGAGTTTGGGCAAGGACACAGGGGCCCCATGATCCCCTATTGCCCGGGGGCCCATGAGTTGTCAGTCCGCCCCTGCACTGGAAGCAGTGGAAAGTCAAAAGTTCTGGAGTCTTTTCTGTGTTGGAAATAAGTTTGTATTGTCTTCTGTATCTGCAAGGACCTACTGTCCAGTGAGTGGGCACCCAGACCATTGGTGGTGGGTTGATGTTCATCCATCAAACACTGAAAGACCTTTATGCATGGACATTCCCATGTCTTGAAGAGCCGATTCCCAATGTCTCGAAGAGTCTGCCCTAATGTCGACTAGAGGTTCTATGGCCTTCGGGTCTCTTGCCTCAACCCAACTGAGCGGTCTCTCTTCCGGAAAACACCTTACCAGGTACTTGGTGGACTGGCTTTGGCTGGTCCCTAGAAGTGAGGTCCACCTAGCTTCAGCCTAGGTAGACCATGGCGTACCTTGCCTCTGTCAGGAGCCTTGCGGCCCAGCACCTCTTTGGGCATTCAGCATTTTGTACCCTTTGTGCACTTTTCTGCGTGCTGTTGTTTCATGGTTCACGTTTTTGTTCACAGGGTTTCAACAAAGCACTGCTCCGAGGAGCTTCAAATGATTTATTAGGAGAATGTGGTGTTGGGCCTACAAGGGAGTAACAGGTTATATTGCAGAACGTTTTTGTTTATCGTCAAGATGTCATTCTTGTTCTTGTATTGTTAGTCTTTAAAAGAAATATGAGAAAATGAGCATGTTTAGTTTCCTTTCTGCCATCTAAGGATTATCTCTGCTTTCTTAGGTGAGTTGGATCATAGACACAAAGCTGGAGAGACCACAAGTATATCAGATTTCAAAAAAATGTGATGAAAGATTTATTGCTAAGTGCTGGAATTTCTGAGGATGAGCCAAAGTGGAATTATATGATCATGATAGAAACTCATACTGCTGAAAGAAGAAAGATTGCGGCCATTCTGGAAAGAACAGATAGAAACAAATGACGTTTTTTTTCTTGGGGAAGAGCATGACCCAAACTCACCAACATGGCTCTTCATCTCCATTGGACACACACACACACACTATACTACTGGAATTGTATTAGTCTTCTGTGGTTTATCTTGTATCTCTTCCTTATTGGTGCAATTAGGATTAGTAATAACACCAGGGGTAATTGATCCATGTGTAGCACCCTCCTAGTCAGCTAGGGAGAGCTCTAGATCTAATGGTTAGTGAGTAGGGTGGAGTAGCAGCTTG